CCAAAACGGATAATGGGTAAATGAGAAATTGATTCTCAAAGTAGACCCATTTGAGTTGGTAAATTGAGATGAAAAGGCTTGGAAGAAGCCTTTGTCCCACATTCGAAATGAATTTGTATTAGTATATATACAATTTTGTTTTAGAAAAAGTTTGAATTATATAGCATTAAAAGTTTTTCTTTTCTTCTTATTGCATAACCTTTTACAATAAAATTTTGTATATAATCATGAATATTGATTGAATTTTGAATTGACCTTAAACATACAATATCACAACAATGATCTAAAATATCAATCACAATACTATCTCGAAATGGCATTTTTAAAAATTAATTAATATTCTAATTTTTTTAATCTTATCATATCTATTGCAAGTTCAAATCTCATTACTATTATTAAACAAATCAAAATTTAAATCAAACGTTATCAAGAGTGTAAATTGGTTATGTTGGAAATTTTTAACAAAAATGATATTTTAAGTGGTTATTTTGTGATACAAATATATATGAGGTCCACTTTCTATTTTGGTTTGGTCAAAGTAGATTTGGGTAATTCGAAATGAGACAAAGAAATTGATATATTGTACTCTCAAAACGGATAATGAGTAAATGAGAAATTAATTCTCAAAGCAGACCCATTTGAGTTGGTAAATTGAGATGAAAAGGCTTGGAAGAAGACTTTGTCCCACATTAGAATGGGAAATGAATTTGTATTAGTATATATATATATATATATATATATATATATATATATATATATATATATAATTTTGTTTTAGAAAAACTTTGAATTGTATAGTATTAAAAGTTTATTTTGTATATAATCATGAATATTGATTGAATTTTGAATTGACCTTAAACATACAATATCACAACAATGATCTAAAATATCAATCACACTACTATCTCGAAATGGCATTTAAAAAAATTAATCAATATTCTAATTTTTTTTTTTTTTATCTTATCATATCTATTGCAAGTTCAAATCTCATTACTATTATTAAACAAATCAAAATTTAAATCAAACGTTATCAAGAGTGTAAATTGGTTCTATTGTAAATTTTTAACAAAAATGATATTTTAAGTGGCTATTTTGTGATACAAATATATAGGATGTCCACTTTCTATTTTGGTTTGGTCAAAGTAGATTTGGGTCATTCGAAATGAGACAAAGAAATTGATATATTGTACGTTCAAAACGGATAATGTGTAAATGAGAAATTGATTATCAAAATAGACCCATTTGAGTTGGTAAATTGATATGAAAAGGCTTGGAAGTAGCCCTTGTCCCACGTTAGAATGGAAAATGAATTTGTATTAGTATACAATTTTGTTTTATAAGAAGTTTGAATTGTATATTAATATTTGGCAGAATTGTTTGGAGAGATAGGGAAAAGCCAAAGAATAAAAAAAGTGAGTTTTATGTTTGGAGAGATAGAGATACAAAATTATCATCCCAAGTCATTTTTAGACTTTAAATTGTCAATCATTGTCATTAGTATTGCTTGGCCCGCAAGTTGCATTGACTGAATCCTAAATAATGTATGAATAAATAAAAGAGATTATGAGCAAGGCAAAAAGGCTAAGTAAGTACTTGAGTCCGATATTGTACATTTGTACTGTTTTTCAACAAAGTCGGTAGGGAATGGGTGCATTGCATGATTTTGTCAACTCCCTATCAAAAAATAGTTGAACAAAGTCTTTTGTACCATAAATTTGAAATTGAAAGTTCTCATTTGAATTTTCGAATGAGATTCCAACCTCTCATCTTCTTAGTAAAAAATAAAAACGGAAAAAAACGTATAGAGTAATATATATGCATTCAAGTGAATGGATTTACTTGTTGATTTCATACATTGGTATTGACTAACTAATTAAATAATACACATTACACGAGTAAATGAATGTATAATAGAAAAAAAAAGTAGTTAAATTATAAAAACAAATAATAAAATAATTGATATATCATGAATGAAGAAGAAATGTAAACTTTTTTATGGGACCATGAGAGTCGAGTTTATTTTATTGGGAAAGTTTTGGTTCAAGTAGAGTATGCAGAGGCAAATTCAGCATGGGGCAGTGTACCAAAAATTATACAACTCCAAAACGACGTCGTTTTGGGGTTGTATATATATATATATAATATATATATATTTTTCTTTTTCTATACTGCGTATCTGTATCTCTTGGTCTTGGGCAGCTGGGTTCCTTTGCGAATTGTGACTCTGCAATTTCACCCATTTCCATCGCCATTATCATTTATCTTCAGTCTTCAACCTTAGTTCCTGACTTTCTCATGGGCTCCTTAACTCTTTGCGACGACGCACTGCCGTAACCACGCCCCACAACTCATCTTTTCTGTTCATGTAAGAGTATCAGTGATTCAGGCATGAGGCATCTCAAATTCTCCACGACCACCGTCCGACGTCGTCCAATCATCCGGCACTCAGAGAAGTCAGCAACAACTTGCAAATGCTCAGGTTCTAACTAATTTTTAACCTTGTTTTTTTCTAAAAGACCAATTTTCAACCTAATTCCATAAATGATAAATCCCTAATTCCCTAACGGAAGTTGGACGTGCGTTGAACTTTCTAGAATTTTTGCAACTTTTCTCCAATGTGCGTTGCATCTCCGTTGATCTTTCTAGAATTGCGTAACTCCATCCCAACGCACGTTGGCTGTGTCTTGGGTACTCCCTTTTTGGTTCATTTGTCTCTTCCAATGCTAGCCACTTTTGGTCACTTTCCTTACCTTTACCAATCTTCAATTCCTGCAAAATTAGTCCAAGTTTTCCCCAAACAACAACAAAACTATGGATTTAATTCACACTTGTTTTTTTATTATTCAAACAAACTAAAAACAAATGCAACGAAAATAAAGCTTGGGTTGTCTCCCAAGTAGCGCCACATTTACCGTCGTTGGCTAGACGGATATGTCTTCCTTTCACACGGCCACACGGTATAATGACCGTCCGGCCACACGGCCGTGTACTGCTTCAAACGGTATAATGACCGTCCGGCCGGCCACGCCAATGTGGCAGTTTCTGGCGAGAATGCGGCGCATGTGACAGCCGATGTGTGGTACCCGGATACCGGGGCTATGTCTCACGCGACTCTGGACTATCAGATGTTAAGCCACTCCGAGGCCTACACCGGCGGGGATGTTCTTAAAATCGGAAATGGCACAGGTTTAGATGTTTCACGTGTGGGGCATGCCGTTATCCCATCCCGGTCTAAAAGTTTGTCAATGTCACAAATTCTACATGTTCCAAATTTAACATTACCATTATTGTCAGTCTATCGTTTTACTAATGAAAATGACGTTTATTTTGAATTTCACAAATATTTGTTTGTTGTGAAGGATTGTAACACTCGGGCGGTTCTTCTTAAAGGTTTCACCTCTGGCGGCCTATACAAGTTATTGGTCCCATAATCTCCGTGTGCCTTTCTTACCGCTCGTGTGTCCTCCGAGGTGTGGCATCAACGTTTAGGCCACCCCCATAATCAAGCTCTACAACATGCCTTAAAACAATGTCTCGTCACTACAAATAAAGCCAGTTTGTCAAAGTTGTGTACTGCGTGTCAACTCGGGAAATCAGCTCGTTTTCCTTTAGATAGGGTTTCAAGCACTAGTGATAATGTTTTAGATTTGTTGTACACGGACATCTGGGGTCCGTCTCCTGTAATTAGTGCTACTAGCTTCCGTTATTTCATACTTTTTGTAGATGACCATTTGCGTTATTGCTGGTTTTACCCATTACGGTTAAAATCATATATATATATATATATATATATATATATATATATATATATATATATATATATATATATATATATATATATATATATAATATTTGATGTGTTCCGGGTGATAGTAGAACGACGTTTTTCGCGTTCTATCAAAGCCATACAGTCTGATTTAGGGGGTGAATACCGTCGTCTTCACAAAGTCTTCGAAAATCTAGGCATTACACACAGACAATCGTGTGCCTATACCCACGAACAAAACGGGCCTGTTGAACGTCGGAATAGACACATAGTCAAAACCGGCTTGGCATTGCTTGCTGAAAGTTCAACACCACAAATATATTGGGATTATGCCTTTGAAACAGCCACCTATTTAATCAATTGCCTACCATCTTCCGCTATAAACTATGAGAGTCCACATTATCGTGTCTATAAAACACAACCTTCGTACACTTTCTTTCGTGTATTCGGGTGTCGCTGTTACCCTTATCTTCGGCCTTATAACCGGCACAAGATAGAGTATCGGTTAACACCCTGCGTCTTCCTAGGTTACCCAATTTCTTTTAGGGGATATCGGTGTATGGACCCTACCACGGGGAAGATCTTTATCTGCCGTCATGTTCGGTTTGATGAGTCCACTTTCCCTTTTGCTTTGCAGGCATCTGTACAGACTACTGCGAGTCCTACTACAACGCCCTGGGGAGTCGGGCCAGTTGTAGTCACTACTCAGTCTACACCTCTAGCTGTGGATTAGAACAATATTCTCATTCAGTTTGAACAGAAAGCGAATACAGAAGTGTATATCTAATCACACCACTAATCTCTCCTGACAAGTAGACTAGCTGTACAAGACTAATTCTAGGACCACACAAATATAACTATGTTACACAATGAAATAATAATAATAATAATAGTAACACTAATACACCCCCTCAAGCACAAGGTTCGTGGTCGATGACATTGAGCTTGTCCCGTAGAGCTGTAAATCGAGGTCCCGGCAAAGGCTTGGTAAGGACATCAGCTAGTTGATCTTTGGTGGAGATGAAGTTCACCACGAAGTCGCCCGAGGCTACCTTGTCCCGCACAAAGTGATAATCAATCTCGACATGCTTCGTCCGGGCATGAAACACAGGATTCGCACACAGATAATAAGTAGCACCTAAGTTGTCACACCACAAGCTGGAGGGACGACCAGTGTGTAATCCAAGCTTGCGTAGTAAGGAAACAATCCAGGTGACTTCGGCAATGACATCGGCTAGGCTTTGTACTCTGCTTCAGTAGAGGAGCGAGCTATGGTGCGCTGCTTCCGAGATAGCCAGGATACTAGATTACTTCCTAAAAAAATAGCATAGCCACTGGTGCTCTTCCTGTCTACCGGACATCCAGCCCAGTCGGAGTCAGAGTAGGCATGGATGGCACTCGAGTCGGAGGGAGTTAGCCGAAGACCGTAACCCAGAGTACCCTTGATATACCGTAACACACGTTTCACCATTGCCCAATGATCTTCAGTCGGAGAATGCATAAACTGACACAAGCGGTTGACTACGTAAGCTAGATCTGGCCGTGTGATAGTCAGATACTGTAGTGCACCGACGATACGACGATACTGCGTAGGGTTCTCATAGGGCTGATAAGACGGAGTCACCGCTTGAGTAACCGAAGCTGGTGTAGTGAGAGGCTTGCAGTCAGACATCCCAGAGCGGCCCAAAAGATCTATCATGTACCTCCGTTGGGACAGAATCATACTGTTACCTGCCGCAACTGTCTCTATGCCCAAAAAGAACCCTGGTGTGCCGAGGTCACGAATTTTGAACGCGGTGGCGAGACGGCGTAACAGAGACTCAACCATAACTGCATCACTGCCCATCATGATGATGTCGTCTACATAGACGAGGAGAAACACTTTAGATACACCCGTCGAGTGGTAAAATAATGAGACATCAGTCTTGGATGAGAAAAACCCTGCAGACAATAAAAAGTCATGTAGTCTTTTGAACCACGCATGTGGGGCCTGCTTAATCCCATAGAGCGAGCGTTGTAAAAGACAGACATGATCCGGATGAGTTGGGTCTTCATACCCTGGCGGCTGCTTCATGTATACTGTCTCAGCTAAATGGCCATTAAGAAAGGATCGTGGACATCCAACTGACGTAGAGTCCATTTGTGGGAGATAGCCAAAGAGAATAAGATGCGGACTGTAGTGGGTTTGACAACTGGACTGAAAGTGTCAAAGAAGTCCTCCCCTACGACTTGATTGAAGCCTTTGGCTACTAAACGGGCCTTATAGCGTTCAACCGAGCCATCCGCAGTTCGTTTAGTACGAAAAACCCATTTGCAACCAATAATGTTCATGGTAGGGTCTGGTGGTACTAATCGCCAAGTATTGTTATGAAGGAGGGCATTGAACTCTTGATCCATTGCGTCACGCCACTGTGGGTGCCCCACGACTTGGGAGTAGCACGTTGGATCAGTTGTCGCCGTTAGTGTATGAAACTCTTCATTAGTGCCCCGGGTTATATGCCGAAGGTGCATAGTCGAAGGTTGAACCGTGGTTCGCTTCCGGGTCCGTCTAGGGGCATTTGACTCAATGGCCAATAATGGTGCCTCTTGAGCCAAAGGGACTGGCTCAGGGTCCGGCATTGGTCCAGGTGTTGGCACAATTTGTTGGGATTGCACAGGTGATATGGGTGCTGAAGCCCAAGGTAGAGGTGCAGGTGTAGAGTCCTGCTGTACTGAACCTATTGCAAAGGGAAAAACATTATCGTCAAACCGCACATGGCGACAGATATAGGTTTTCCCACTGATTGGATCCATGCATCTATATCCCCTATAGGATGGAGGGTAACCTAAGAAGACACATGGGGTGGAACGATACTCTATCTTGTGACGATTATAAGGCCGCAGATGAGGGTAACATTGACACCCGAAGACACGAAGAAATTGGTACGGTGGGGCTTTTTGGTAAAGACGATAATACGACTTTGAAACTTTAATACCGAGGTGGGAAGATAGTTGATTAGGCAGGTGGCAGTTTCAAAAGCATAGTTCCAATATTGTTGCGGGACGGAGCTTTGAGCAAGAAGAGCTAAGCCCGTTTCGACAATGTGTCGGTTACGGCGCTCAACTTTTCCGTTTTGTTCATGTGTGTAAGCACATGACTGCCGTGTTCAATGCCCAAGTTTTGGAAAGTTGTATGTAACTTACGGTACTCACCCCCTAAATCTGATTGGATTGATTTGATAGAGCGCTAAAACTGTCGCTCTACCAACAAACGAAACGCATCGAAAATTTTATAGATATCTGATTTTACCCATAATGGATAAAACCAGGTGAAACGTGTGAAGTCGTCAACAAATAACACAAAATAACGACATCCACTAGTTGACACTACAGGGGCAGGGCCCCAGATATCTGTGAATAAAAGATCTAATACATTGTGACTAGAATCTTGAACCCTATCTAATTTGGAACGGGAGGACTTGCCGAGGTGACAAGCTACACACGACCCCAATTCTTGAGAATTATTTTTCTGAACGAAGCAGTTCTGAAGGACTTTATTTTGGACCACACTATGCGGGTGACCGAGCCTGCGATGCCATACAGTCGATGTAGCACGGGAACTCACAAACGCGAAGTGGGAACGTGACACGGGTAATTTGTATAGACCGCCCGAGGTTGGACCTTTAAGAAGTGTGACCTTGGTTTTGGAATCCTTCACAAAAAAACAATTATCATGAAATTCAAAATAAACATGATTATCGCTAGCAAATTTTTGCACAGAAAGTAATGGTACGGTTAAATTGGGAACGGGTAACACATTTGACATGACCAACTGTTTTGACACGGACGAAATTGATGCATGACCAATCCGCGAGATAGCCAAACCTGTACCGTTTCCTACGCGAAGCGTGTCCTGGCCAACATACTCCTCCGAATTATTTAGCATGGCAGCATCAGGAGTAGCATGTGCAGATGCCCCGGTGTCGGGATACCACGAGTCCGCCGGAGAGACTGGTGCCGCGGCGGGATCGTTGGAAACGACGACATTGGCCTGAACCGGCGGCGGTGCGGTGTACCTCTTGAAGCAATATACTGCCGTATGCACGTGGGAGCGGTAGATTTGATACCGTGGAGCTCCTCTACCACCTCGACCGCCCCGGCCGTGATTATTTTTTTGGCCACCTCTGCTGCCTCGGCGACCTCCATCACCATGCGACGGACTGCCTCCACACCCACGGCCAGCGAATAGCGCTGTGTGAGAACCTGCAGCCACGCCATCAGCTACTGTGGAGCCGTAATCATCTGCAAGGAAGAAGTCCGCAGCCTGGAGATGGTCTGCCATTTGCGGCAGTGTGAGAGGGGTGGTGGCAGTCAGCGATGTAGCGTAGGTGTGATATTCAGGGTGTAGCCCTCTCAGAACATAAAGGTTCTGTTCTCCCAACGAGAGAGGCTGCCCAGCCTGTGCAAGGGCCTCGACAAGAAGCTCAGCACGTCCGAGGAATTCCGCTGGAGATGCATTCCCTTGTCGCATCGTCTGAAACTGACTTAATAAACTGAGGCACCTGGCTTGAGTATTTGAGCCGAGGGCGGTGCAAATGGAGCGCCAAACATCCGCAGAAGTGTTCCGGCCGACGGCAAGGTGGAGTACTTCATCAGACATCGCCGAGATGAGGAGGGAAAGGATCGATTGATCCTGTTGAACCCACACTTTGTACACCGGGTTGGGGACCGGATCAACCGAGGTGGCATCGGAGCCTGACTCGCCGGCGAGTGTGGCAGCGATCGTCGAAGGCGGGCATGAAGTGGAGCCATCCACGAATCCAATGAGGTCCTGCCCACGGAGGAACGAGAGGAGTTGAGTTCTCCAAAAAAGAAAATTGCAACTCGTTAACTTCATTGAAATAAAGTGATGCGCGCCATGGAGGGGGTTGTTGCCGGCCGGGGTTGACGCACCGCCGGCGGAGGAGGGTTGATCGGAAGACCGGGATGACATGGCGGCTTTGGGGTGGTTGGAAAACGGAAGATTGTGGTGGTTTGGCAAGCGAGAAGCGATCAGTAGGATCGGTTAGGCTGATACCAGATTAGAACAATATTCTCATTCAGTTTGAACAGAAAGCGAATACAGAAGTGTATATCTAATCACACCACTAATCTCTCCTGACAAGTAGACTAGCCGTACAAGACTAATTCTAGGACCACACAAATATAACTATGTTACATAATGAAATAATAATAATAATAATAATAGTAACACTAATACTGTGGAATTACCTATGGCGCAGGAACCAAGCCCACTGGCCATAGCAGCTCCATAGGATACTTGTGTCACCACGGGCCCACCTACAGGGACTCGTAGGGCACCCAGGGGCCGGGGCAAGCCCCAAGTCCCACATACCATGCGCACTCGGCACAAGACACGTGGCAATGATGAAGAGTTCTATGCTCTTACTGCGTCCATTGATCCGACCTGCTACTCCCAGGCCGTTGGGCACCCACAATGGCAGGATGCCATGGACCAGGAATTCAATGCCCTGTTACATAACAACACCTGGGAACTCACCCCAGCTAAACCGCACATGAACATCATCGGCTGCAAATGGGTTTTCCGCACCAAACGCAAAGCCGATGGTTCGGTTGAGCGCTATAAGGCGCGGCTGGTAGCCAAAGGGTTCAACCAAGTTGCTGGTGAAGATTTTTTTGACACTTTCAGTCCCGTGGTCAAGCCGACCACAGTTCGCATATTGTTTTCTCTTGCTATTTCTAACAGGTGGACACTACGGCAGCTGGATATCCACAACGCTTTCCTGAACGGACATCTCGCTGAAACTGTTTATATGAAGCAGCCACCTGGCTACGAGGATCCGGCTAGACCTAATCATGTCTGTCATCTGCAGTGGTCTCTTTACGGGCTAAAGCAAGCACCACGCGCTTGGTTTAAGCGATTGCATGACTTCTTGACTACCACGGGGATTTTGGCGTCTAAAACAGATGTTTCTATTTTTCACTATACATCCGGTGATTCTCGGGTTTTTCTCTTGGTCTATGTCGACGACATTATAATGATGGGTAATGATCCAGGCTTGGTCACCACCTTATGTAACACCCCTGATTTTCAATACATTTAAAACTTAATAATAAAGGTAACATCTCATTAAATCCCAAAACGTAACATAAGTGTACGGGGTGCTATGCCACACCTGGGCTAGAGAACCCAGGTGCACAGGCTGTCTAACTACTATTCTCTGAAATATAAATGCGTACTATGGCACGCAGGCCAAAAGGGAAACAATACTACTTCTACGCTCCAGTTCTAGCGCGCTCTAGTGCTCTAATCCTCTGTGCCTGAAAGCCAAATATATCTGTTCAGCGAGAGATGCTGGTAACCCACTCCAACGCGTTGAAATACAATACATATAGCAATATATATATAGATATACAAAACCATTTTGAGCATGAGAATATATCCTACGAACTCTAGCTTTAAAACCGGGAATGACTCGACAGATAAGGCTAGACACAAGCAGCAGTTATAACGAGCATATGCAGTTCACGACAGATAAGGCAGATAAGGCAAAGCATGACAATAATCATAACCCAACATGAACGATCCCCAATATAAATCCCAGAGTCACATCCCCCAAGACACTCATAATCACCACTCATCCATATCTCAACACATAACACACTTTGTTGGCGCCACAGGACCAATCGCATGCCCATACATGAGGGTCAGCGCATATAGCTCTGACACGGCCCCGCAGCACCCTGCCCCGTATCGCAACACGGAGGGGTCGATCGCAACCGACCGATGAACCGCGGCTCATCATAATGTTTGATCGCAACCAAACAGTGGACCGCAGCCCAAGAGAGTGTGTTATCTGACTGTAGCCAGGAATTCCCATCTGACTACAGCCAGCCTCTGAACCGCAGCTCAGGAAAGATGTCACCTGATTGCAGCCAAGAATTCCCATCTGACTACAACCAGCTTCTGGACCGCAGCCCAGGGTACCGTCATCCGACTACAGCCAGGAATTCCCATCTGACCACAGCCGGCTTCTGAACCGCAGCTCAGGATAACCAATCCGATCGCAACCG